CACGAAATTGCCTGATTCAGGATTGTACAAAACTGTTTGATAGTGTTGCATACATGATGTTTGGAATAAATTCAGTTCAGTTCATTAGCCCCCATAAGGACCGTTGAGGCTTCGCCTCGTTTCTTATTGTAATGTAAAAAAATATCACTTTTTTTCAAACTTCGCAATCCTGATGCTTGTGCATTATTAGTACAACATAACACCAATTGTAATAGTCCGGTTTTTGGCTGGTACCGGCGAACGCTTATCGACCTTGAAGCAGTCACGTCACTAAAGTTCAGTTTGTCAGTTAAACTAAGCCGATTTTCTTCACCTTTTTGGTTATTGATTTCTGAGAGATCACGACGTCAGGACAAACAATTGTCCCATTTTAGTTTGTTATTTAGCTTAATCTGTGAATTCGTACTGCCTATATGCTAGTGCCGTTTTTCTACTTCTGACTGAAGCCGTAGTAACAATCGATCAAATTTACCGTCAATCTAATCCCTAGTCCGACCTTGGCTCAGTCACGAACAAACAAACCGTTCTTTGACGCATTGTAATGAAAAACCCGAATACGTAAATGACATTAAACGAATATCCAGTCGTATCTAAATAATCAGCGGGTGAAAGCAAGGCCGAATTATGGTCTCCCGAAGATCATCAGTAGATTTGCAGTTAACAGAATGCATTTACAAAGTTAAATTAAATAGTTAAAATCGGAAAAATAGTATCCTGGATATCCTGAGTTTGAGTCCCGCCACTGTCACCCATCTTCCCTATTTCTGTATTTTCCCAGGCAGCCCTTGTGTGCCCGACCCATCAGTTCCGGAAAATTGACTGTACATTTGTTTGCGCAATAGATGAAAAAGAAAAGTTGTTTAATAATTTATGACACAGATTCTTTCTTTTACTCCTTAACGAAACGGTTGGTATTAGTAGTACGTACGCTTCGAGAATGAACTACCATCAACACAAATCTATTTTTACGCCCGTTTCTTTACGGCTGTTATACACGATAAGTGGCTTTGAGATCAATTCTGAAGGGTCTTTCAGCACATTATCTGTCCATTCGGCGAGGAATTCCGTTGCAAGTGTTCATTCGTTTCTTTCACTGACCTGGGTATACACTACATACCATTTCATGCGAAAACCAACAAAATGCGATAGAGTTTATTCGACAAAACTCCAGTTTGTACCAAAAAGATTGCTATTTGATACATTCTCTTCCATCTCTTTGTGTCAATGCATGTAATTGTCGCACTAACGCTTTACTACCGTTCATTAATGCCCCTCCCCCCCACACGCAAGTATGATGTGGTTTACTGCATCACTCTCGCCACGCATGTCTATTTTCAACGGTTTAATGACACCATCTATCTTGTGTAACGTTTCTGTGGTAATCAGTTTCAGTTTTTACAAGCATTAACCATGCACACTTTTGTGCGTCAGTTTTGGTTGCTGTCTTTTGGTCACCCACTTGGATAAAAGAGCAGGATGAAGATTTGAATGATGAAAACAAACTCAAGCTGAAGATGGAGAATTCATATACAGTGGTGTTAGGGGAATAATGAGTGGATGCACGAACGCTACCGTTTGCGACATCAACCCATGTCTCTCAGTAACTCTAATCAATGGTGACCATGATCTCGGGGTCCAGCCAGGGAGCCTAACGGGACCTATATGACTCAATCTCCGGTTAAGGTTTTCATACCCTCATGCCAGATTTTCGTTTGGCCACCCGTTGACCTTTTTCCAACCACTACCTGTCTCGGCAAACCTTGGTCGCCCTGGCAATGACTATCTGGTGGCATGCGTAATACATGCTCCAACCAAAGTAATCTATGGTAATCTGCTGTCATCTAACCGGTGGTCAAATATGAAGATGAAATTTGCAAGCAATTTTTGATTTCTTTTTTGTCTTATTTTGTTTTGTTTTTTTATTCACCAGTGTCGTTGTCTCTCATCTACCTGACTGTCTCTCTCTCCCTCTTCACGATTCGCATCTAATTTTTGCCCGTGCACAATAGCCAAAAATCGCTACCTCCCGCCAGGCGTTCGCACCAGTGAATTGCTATTCGGTCAACCGGTTCGAAATACCCTGTCTACCACTGATGGTTCACAGGCACGCCGCGTTTTGCGTCGACCTGTGATGACTCGATCTGCCATGGAATTGGATCAGAAAACCGCGGACACGTCCATTTCGACCAGTATTCCACCCGATATGCCAAATGGTGTCGCTTATCCTCCTTCGACCAACGGGATCCCCGTGAACGGAGACAGTCAGCATGTGAGTCCGAGTGAGACAACAAGCAGTCGCCTGGGCACAAACACTCTTCGTGCGACCAGGCCGGACGAGCAAGAAGTCACTGCCGAGGCTCGTCGATTAGCCTGCTATCCGGCCGGTCAACAACGGGATCTGTCTGTCCCAGCTCCCATAGAACGTTACGACTGGCCTGGCCCACCAGCATCCGCGGTCATTCTGGCTGAACTGAGTGAGTTTTCTATCCTTAAGAATGTGATTTCCCTCATGATTTATGTACCATTTTTGATGATAAATTCGTCAAACAATCGCAATTTGCAGCGAAATACATCATTGTAAAGGACAAATACCTCTTGCCGTATACTCCCAGATGTACGTTGAACGTATCACTCATAACCAACTAGTAAGAGAGCTTTGCAAGCACCATACATCTGTTTCATTCTTGCTAGGAATTCTCAACAATGTGCATTCGTCGAAACCATCAGGGTTCGAATCCAGGTGCGAGAAGCGGCTAACTTTAACCTCTTGGATGGAGCAGCCATTTCGAGTTTTCTCCCCGCAACACCTTTTGGTTCTGCTCTTAAAACTTTATGATGTGAAGTATTTTTATTACAAACATAGAACTAAGTTTTTCGATTGAATTGCTCCCTGCGAGGTTAGAAATGGACGACCCAGTTAGACTAATAACTGGTTCATTTTGGATCTTAGATGGTTTTCCGGACTTGTCCGGAGTTATCATCAGTATGCTCGTGTAAAAGCGTAGTTCATACTTCTATTCTGATTCGCATTATGCTGAGCAACTGGTCGAGCTCCATAGACTCCGTTATTTTAGACATGTATTGCGCCTGTCACCGTATAGATTACCACGGCGCGCAATGTGTGCTGAGGCAAGGGATGAGTGGAAAAGATCGAACTGAAATCTGACATGAGGGTCTGAAAACCTTAACCAGCAGACAAGTCGTATTAGGCTCCCCAGTTGCGGACATCAAGAACATTGTAACCGATGGTTAGACACACTGAGTGTGTGGCGTTCATGCATCTTCACAATTTCTGTACAATCTTAGTCCACTGGAACTCTCCGTTTTCTCCTCGACTCTACTTTCAGCTTACAAATCTTCTATCCGCTCATTCAAATGGATAGCCAAAAGGCTGGAGAACAAAAGTCCACGGTTATTGGTTGTAAAACCTGAACAATGAAACTAAGCAGTCTATCCCGCTCGTAAGAGATCGGACAAGTTTGTTGCCGGGACTGAAAATATATCAGTTCCATTGATACTGCGTCAGCAGCTAAAAGCAGTACCTTATTTTCAGGTAGTTTGTACCCATATCCTCAGGGGTTGAGCAGACCTAAATGCTACCAGGCGCGTCTCCAGGTAGGGATAGACCGGGGGATACCTTCAGCGATGAAGGTTAGTTGTGAATAAGGTCTGTGGCATACCGTAACAAATAAGCAGTCGAGGAAAAACAGCGGCCCCGCTACCAGGATGTGGTGGGTTTCAGGCTGTTGTGCAAAGGCCAGAGGTGCGCCCTCAAAATAAAAGACGCCGAGTGACGCTGGGGATTTCTCTCGTACGAAACTCCTAAGGAACTCCATGATTTTGATCATGATCATGTCTGGAGCCGAACTATCCTTTCCAAGGAGCCAGCCGC